GGGAATATTTCCTCTGCAGCTGTGGAATATTACTTTTGTCCGAGAGATAGAAAAGGCTAGCCTTCTGCTTTAAGTTTATTAATGTGGCTCTGTATGCCTTTATGACAGATTAGTAGGCTTAAATACCATTTCGAGTGTGTGTTATTGAATAATGTTTATAGTTTTAAATCTGGTCAGCTATTCTGTTGTATGTTCTCCTTACACAAAAACTCTGGTGCCCAGGTTTATTCTTTTAATGAGATAAGCAGAAGAACACAGTTATTTGAAGCTTCCAGGATATTCCCCAACATACCTAATAACATGCACCTGAGATGCAACATATTTACTTAATTTCCCCCAGGAAGGTTTCCGGTGGAGTCTCATTGTGAGCTGTTGCTCTCGACCTGCCTCCTGACTGAAATAAATTGTACTGTATGTCCAAAACATAGCAGGTTAGCTTCTAAAGAAGGTGGGGCAGGAGGGAGGGAAGGGTCCATGCCACAAAGTTTTCCCACAGTCCTCTTTAGAGGAGCCTTGATTGTCTCAGAATCTGGTGATGTCCTTTTCTCCCTCTTAAGTCTCAAAGGAAGGACAGTAACTATTGACTTCCCTCTGAACTGACTTCATTACAATAGCACATGTACCACCATGAAGCAATCAGTGGTCCCATTTCCACCTTCACTTTATTTATTTATTTATTTAACTTATATGCCACCCACACTACCCGAAGGCCTCTGGGGGAAAATATGGAAGGCTGTAGGCCAAATTTTTACCCTCAGGATCAGAAAGAGACAGAAATGGTCAAACTATGGCACCAGGCAAAATGTGGCAGAATAAAGCCAGATCAGCTTGGTCCCTGGAGGATAGGATTGGAGAGTATTGAAGCAGGGGGCCAGGGGGCAGGGTGCATGTGGAATTTGACACAATATTTTCAACAATATTTTGGGTAGCCTTTTGCATTGGAGGACTCTGGGGAGCTTGTAGGCTACATGTTTTATAGGAGCCTTCATTTACCCATCACTACCTTAAAGGAGAGAATAGCAGAGAAAAGAAGGGGAAAAATGCAGGGGAGATAGGGAAAGTTACAGAAAATTAAATGCTGACTTCCAAACAATAGCAAGGAGAGACAAGAGGGCCTTCTTAAATGAGCAATGCAAAAAAATAATAGAGGAAAATAATAGAAAAGGTGAAATCAGATACTGTGGACCCTCGGCCTACAGAATTAATCTGTATTGGAACGGTGTACTGTACAATCATTCCTCGACCTATGGAATTAATCCATATTGAAACAGTGTCCATATGTCACATTCCCGGGGGTTACAACAGCAGAGTCCAATAAGCCAGTCCTATATCAGAAATTCAGAGAATGCAGAGCCAATATCCAAATACCAAAGCCAACTCACACAACATAGTCCAGGGTCAGAGTACAAAGCCAAAATGCACAACATAGTCCAGGGTCAGAGTCCAAAGCTAAGGGCCCAGAGAACAAGGTTCAAGGTAGTCAGGAGCGTGGATGCAAGCCAGAGGGGTGACTTGTTGCTTCCACAGACTTTCAGCCATCTGAGAGCTGCTTATATAGTAAAACAGCCTTTGAACTGCTGGAAGCCTTTTCATCCTGTCAGTACTCAGGGCTAGTTGATCGGATGTTTCTGCGGGCAGCCTTCAAGTGATCATCTGACCTTTTGGTCATAAGTCTTCCCGAAGCCTGGCCCTTAGCCTGTCTACTGGGTGAGGAGAATCTGGAGGCAACTCAGCTGTTTGTGTTTGTAATCGCTCAGCATTCTCCTCAGCTACAGTTAACCCTTCAGGTTCTGGATCTTCAGCTGCACTCATGACACCATAGGTCGAAAAGTTCATAGGTCGAAAATCCATTTCCCATAGGAATGCATTGAAAACCCATTAATCCATAACCTGCCCAAGAAACACCCTCCCCCCACAAAATTAAAATAAAAATTTAAAAACTACAAACCTTACCTTTTTGAAGCCTTTCAGGGGTCCCCAGCCACCACCATCGCTTCTGCTGGAGGACTCCGAGGGCTTCGGCACCACTGTCGGAGGCCTCTTGGAGCTCCTCCACTGCCATTGCCACTGCCGGAGGATTCTGAGGGCTTTGGGGCCACTGCTAGAGGCCTCTCAGAGCTCCCCCGCCAACACAGGCTTTCCCAGGGTTGATCGGGCCTACCAGGGGAGGGCTTCCCCCGGTAGG